TGGCTGCAGCTCACCTCCGAGTTGGAGGCCACTCGGATAACGCTGGCCACCTCCCGTCAGTCACAATCGGCTGCTTATGCTGCCATGAAGACTGCGCTAATGCGTGGCGTCTGTGCTCTCAACATGGAAACCATGTCGGTTTTGAATGGCCCTGGTCTTCTGCCACCTGTTAGAGTCCCATTAACAGAAGAATCTCCAAACCCATCAAATACGAATCAACCTACTGTCGTAGAGGATAAGTTGAATGAGCCAAAATATCCTGGAAACTGTGAATGCGCCAGTGAGAAGAAGCTGGGCGCTGCTTCAGAAGAGCAGAGAGAGAGGGCTGAACAAGCTATAACGAGTGTGGACGATTTGCCTAAGGCAACTAGGACTGGAATTTCTCCAGAACAGCCCGAGGTCCGGTAAGCCTTTCGTCCTTTATCACTCTCCAACATCTATTATTTATTCCTTGCAATATTTTCGCCTACGAATCGTCAGCACCTAGTGGCAAGCTCATTAATCAGTCTTATCTTAATGAATAGGGGCTTATAACTTTAGGACATATCTAACCTCGACTTAATAGCAATGCAAGCACTTGTTATTGCAGTATTCATTAGTAGTTGCTGTAACAGATAGCGAGCCTTTGAACTAATAATAATGGTCTATAGCTCAAACAAATTTTTCGTTCCATGTTTTACCTAAATGCAACCATATCTTAATGGAGCCATACACACAACGGGACCTCAACCTTTATGACTAAACATAATGTGAAGACAAGGATTTTGTGGCCTTTTGTATGGCCGCGGTCTCCTTTCGTTGTATAGAAGTTGCTTGACCTTGTTTTCGCCGCGGACCTACGGGCCCATGAGGCAGATCCGAACAGGAGACTAGATCAAGATCAGACACTTAAACGAGAGTAGAGCAAGACAAACAGCAGGTGTGATGACGCCACGGTAAATTCGCCCAAAGGGTACAAGGGTCTCTTGTGGAATATAAGCATGTCCGAAGTTATGATCGGACGAGGGATAGACTATAGAGTAGGAACTGGCTAGAGGGACCAGAACAAATCGAGGAGTGATAGCATATCTGTCTTGACAGAAAGTTTGTCAAGGGATTGACTTCACTTGCTTCTTTGACGAGTTTTAGCTCGTCATTGGGCTCAATTTGTTGAAGGAAAAAATTAAGTCTTCTTCGTTGACTATATCCCAATTTACGCTCATTTAATACTTTGCTCTATTTTCTTTACTCTTCAATCTTTC